GTCAGACTGGAGTTTATTAGTGTGGCGGAATGCCTGGTACCCCGACCGGGTACCTCCACCAATCATGCTTCCTAGCAATTACTGAGTACCATAAGCACTGCACCGGACACCATAAGCACTGTAGCCCCTTACGCAGCTGGGTGGGTAGACCTCTCCTAATCCAGAGAGTATCGCAGGTTTCGCTGTAATTATCACCAGTATCGCATCCCCTCCCACACATGAGCCAGGGCTTAATCTGTTTTATTCTGGTCCACACACGGCCTTTTATGCATACGCATAAGCAAGAGGTTTGTTACACAAAATCACAGGGTAATCACTCCCCTGTGCCTGAGAGATAATTGAGTCAGGAACTGTACTAACTCAATTATCTCCAGCTACTGAAAACACACAATTTACAAACTCCCCAAAGGACCCCCAAAATCCATGTAAACCCCCACAAAAGTTACATTCTCGGATATCCCCAATCTGGGTGACTGACATACCAACAAATCCAAAAAATGACCCAGATTGGTTCAGGGGTTCGGGTTTTCCACGGAACTCACTTTTTTGACTGACTGCATACATGGCTCCTGCCCAAAATAGTTCCATGAAATCAGTGCTAGCAGTCGGTCTCTTTCGGGAGTGCAAAACTGAATAAAATACCGAACATAATCCATAATTACAATGTGTAGCTTGTTCACTTCATCCATGCGAACGATTCCACCGAACAGTACCCTTCCAGGTTGTGTAGAAACAAACGCAGGCAATGATGGAATTCCAGCGATGTTTGGGAGTTTCAGTGTCCGATTTTAGTTCCATGAGCTCGACACCCAAACACCGCTGCCTGTGTTCACGGGAACAAGATAGCTGCCACCTCGTGGTTGTTCATACAAACTGCAGCCACCCAGACGCACATTTAGAACACTGAGGTGGAAATTGCTACAAGATGTCAATTGGGCTTAACCGGTTGTTCGGTTCCCGAATGGTGTAGGGAAATTACACAAACCAAGCCATTTAAATAGCATTTTACAATTCTTTCTGCAGGGCCCATAGTCCTGAGGCAGAAGGCTGGCAAGCAGGTTCCTCCAGAATTAGCATAGTAAGGTTTTACTCTGCTTACTGAATACCAGTTTTGCCATGGACGTCAATGGAGTAATTGCTATTCAGTAAGCAGACTTTTTTTCTGTTAGGAGAATTCAATCCATAATCTTTAAAACAGGTTTACTTTGCTATAACTGTACACATCAGTTTATGCCACAATGGGACTTATTTAGTGGGCATCTATACATCAGTATATCCACCTACGAAATCAGCTGATGCTTGCAGTATTGAACTTCCATCCCGCCACATAATTAGTGAGTTAAATGAGTAAAAAAGCTCACTGTATCTCCTGGTCAACGGGGTGCCCTGTAGAAATGGAGTTGGGTACATCCATTAGAACGCCTGTGTTTATGAGTTTCCTTAGGAGATATAAAAAAAATTCTTATGAAGTTGTTTGTTTTTGTTTTTTTGTGCACTCAGACTCCCCCTACTCTTGGGCGGCAGCAATGACCATAGTACACATCAGCCCCAATTCATACAATAAAAACCAAATAAAAGAGTCTTCTGCGGACTCTCCCAAATCCCTATGCATATTTAGACAGATGGGATTTTTTTTTAATTCACTCCAATGGCCAGGAGTAGTGGGAGTCAGACTTATTTTTGTGTATTTGTATTTGCTTTTGTATCACACAGCCATGTTACAATGCTGCCGCCCACCCCATGTGTTCCCTTTTAAGGGTTAATAAGTTGCGGTTTAGAAAAATACCCCTTTGCGTCTCATTCGAGACTTTTTTGCCTGAAGCGGAAGGAAGCAAGGAGAATTGTTAGTGTTGGACCCACCTAAGAAGTTTGTCTTGACGTGGCAGGTGGACTTACACCCAATGGCCATTGGAGTGAAGCAAAAAACCTCCATTTGTCTAAATATACATAGATTTGGGGTAGTGCGTAGGATACTCTATTCTTCGGTTTTTATTGTAATTTAGCTTAACATGTTTATGTATTACCCAGAGGTGACAATTTGATACAATATCGTTTTCATAGTGAACACAGAATGCAAATCAGTCCTTTTTGCAAGTAAAAGCCCTGGTGGGCATTGTTGAACTCTCGCTGTCCTTTCACAAAATAAAATGAAAGTAAAGTCTATCCTTACTCAGGGCCAGATTTGCCACAAGGCAACAGAAACACCATAACTTCTAAAGTGGGCCGCAGTTGTTATGGTACTTGGAATGTTCCTTTAACATACATTTTTATGTAAAAAGTTTTTAATAACTGTGAACAGTGAATTCTGCTCGTCTTTGAGGACATATCCTCACACCACTGGGTGAAAAGAGATACATGCAAAGTCCAGAGCACTATCATTACATACTAAAAAGATAAAATGTTAATATCTAATTGCAATTATAATATAGATTTATTGCATGATATTCATTTCTTAACCCTTTTGCTGTCTAGTTTTGTTTGTTGTAAATAAAGTGTAACATTTGTTTGAAACCTAGGGTGCACAGGTAACACAATTAGTGTAGAGGACAATAAAAACAATGTTTTGCATACATCTAAATCATTTACTTGTTTATCTTTATTGTATTGTACAGTTTGAATTACTTTCCTATGTCTTACAATATTTAATCGTAATTCTGAAACATTAGAATGTGTAGATAATATTTTGGTATTTTGAAAACAGATCCTATTTACGGGTATTTGTAAGAAATCTTATGACATATTTTGTGACTGCCGCCTTCCAAAAAATGCCACAAAAATGTAAAAAGAATGTTGGTTTCAAACATAGTAAATTAAACTACCGTATATACTTGAGTATAAGATGACCCGAATATAAGTCGAGGCCCCTAATTTTACCACAAAAAACTGGGAAAAATTATTGACTCGAGTATAAGACTAGGGTGGGAAATGCAGCAGCTATTGGTAAATTTCAAAAATAAAATTAGATCCCAATAAAATTACATTAATTGAGGCATCAGTAGGTTAAAGGTTTTTGAATATTTATTTCAAAGAAAAACAGTAAACTAGCTCTGTAAGGGGAAAAAGAGGGTCAACAAAAACAATATGGTATCAACAATAACTTTAACAGTACAAAAACCAACTAAGCTAAAACATCTAATAGAGTTAAAATCATTTAAAACTGGATTCCTCATCATCTGTATGTCCAAACAGAGCTTCAACTGTAGCTGGTGTGAGGTTATCATCGTAGACATTGTCATCATCACTGAGTTCGTAGTCATCACCATCACTGCTGTCCTCATACAAAGCGCTGTCTTCCCTGCCATCCATAGCATTACTAATGCCACATTTCTTGAAGGCGCGTTGCACCATGTCCTCTGGAATCTCTTCCCATGCATCACAAACCCATTTTGCTACCAATTCTATGTCGGGCTTCATCAGATTTCCAACTTTTGTCAGTCGGGGGTGACCTGATGACATCGATTCATACCATCTCTTTCGCACACGGTCTTTGAAAGGTTTATTTAAACACACATCTAGGGGCTGCAATACAGATATAAGCCCACCCGGAATAATGGCCAAAGTAACTTGAGGAGACTTTGCCAAAATTTTTATTGTCATCAAATATGTGGGCTCTGAACATATCCCAAACTAGCAATGATGTTTTTTTCTTTAAGGCCGCTCCTGGTAGTACGTTCCAAATTTCTTCCAGCCATTTTTTTGTTCCGTCTTCATCCATCCAGCCTTTAACATGTGCGCGCACTGTAATTCGTGGTGGGAATTTGACCTTTTTAGGCAAGGTCTTTCTTTTAAAAATAATGACAGGCCATAACTTAGTTCCATTAGCCAAACATGACAGAACGACTGTGAAATGTTTTTTTCATTTCCTGTGGTTCTGAGTAAAATAGTTTTGTCTCCCAAACTTGCCACAGTTCTGTTGCTTGGAAGATCAAAGGTCATAGGTGTTTCATCCAATATCTCCCAGGTCATAGTTATGGATACTTTTTTGTTTTATGATGAATGAATGGAATGACATCAATTTGTCATCAAGGTCTTTTGGCAACTTATGTGAAATCTTTGTTCTTTGCCGCAAACATAGGGCAAACCTATTCATGAAGCGGGTACACCATCCTGCTGACACAACAACATTTTCAATGCCTGGTGCTTTTAATTTGTCATCTTTAGCCATTTGAAGGGCACGTAAGCGAATTCCCATGCATGTTACGCATTAACCATTTTGACGACACTCATAACCCATTTATGCAATTCAGTCTCAAGAGCCCCATATGATGTCGTTAAACCTTGTCGAGCTTTTTTTGCCTTTGGAACATTTTCCAAGTCAGCTTTCATTTTCCACCACTTCCTCACAATACTGTTATTGCTTTCTTTCTTTCTTTCTATTACTTTCTTCTGCTTTCTTCTGCTCTTGACACAACCTTGAGCTTGAAACCAGCATTGTATGACCTGCGTTTTTTGTTTTGGTCCGGGATTAGAAGTATTGGGATCCATTCCTAACAGGATAAAAAAAAAGACTTTGAAAAAGAATGCCAACTATGTTTCCATAGAGCAGCCTGTGTTGGGGCTCATACTATACACGCAATGTTACTGCATGCGCTGCGTTACGGCCGGTGTGCAAGAGAAAAGAAGAGCGGTGATATCAACAGTCATTGGACCACCCACAGAGGCTGCAGAGGATGAGCAGGAGAGACAGGAGAACACCCGGACTGCACCGGAGAACCGGTAAGTGGGACCAGTGGCCCCTCCCTACAGAGACACACACAGACAAACAGGCACACATACATACAGACACACACACACACATACAAAGACACAGTCAGACACACACAAGCCATACATACAAAGACACATACATATTACAGACAGACACATACATACAAACACACACACTTAATATTAAATATACCATAGATAATATTTGTCACCCTCCTGTTGCCTACCTTTTTAGATGCAAGAGAGTGACTCAGGTTGATGGGAGTCTGACTCCAATTTCTGACTCCCTGTATAAAATGCAGAGTGTGTGCATTATATACACACACTCTGCATTATATACAGAGTGTGTGTATATAATGCACACACTCTGCATTAAATACAGGGAGTCAGAAAAGGGAGTCAGACTCCCATCAACCTGAGTCACCCTCTTGTACCTAAAATGCAGAGTGTGTGTGCATATAATGCAGAGTGTGTGTGCATATAATGCACACACTCTACATTATATACACACACTCTGCATTTTAGGTGCAAGAGGGTGACTCAGGTTGATGACTACCTGTATATAATGCAGAATGTGTGTGTATATAACTGGGTGGAGGGGGAGGGGGGGGGATTTTTATTATTTTATTATTTATTTTATTTTAATACATATTTTTTTAAACTTTTTTTTTTTGTCCCCCCCCTCCCTACTTCATGCTTGGCCAGGAAGGGGGGGCTGTGCAGGGGGAGGGCTGGAAGCGATTACCGGTACTTACTCCCTGGGTAAATCTCGCGGCCTGCTCCCTGGGTAAATCTCGCGGCGTGCGTGTCTCGCAAGATTTACACTGGGAGCTTAACAGAGGAGCCGCGCGGAGGTGATGGGAGCTGACCGGAGCTGCTGTAAAGGTAAGTAACAGCTTGCTCCGGCCCCCAACATGTCATGGTCTGTGCAAAATATAGAATTGTGGTGAGAGCACTCAAAACATGCCAATACAATATTTTACCAGAACTTTGTTTAGTTGAAATATCTAAAAAAAAACATAAGACACAAGAACATAGTGTAATATTGTTTTAAATATGTGCAAATGTTTATATGTGACTGGTTAAACTCACATATTGCTGAGTCACTTTAAAAGCTGACTCAGACTTAGGGCTTGTATGGAGATGAGAAATCTCAATTCTGGACGTCCTGTACCAATCTTAATGGATCCGCGCTGGAAATACTTTTTAGAATCACTCCAGGATGCAGAATCAAATCCAAACTGGTTTTATTATTAAAATACTACATAAAAATAAAACTGGTAGTAAATACAGGTCAAGTGTCCTTTATATATACCTCCTACCTCAAGACCATGGCCCCTGGTTCAGGACTGTTAAAATACTCTATTTGTGCCTTTCGGTATATGAGATGTACCGAACGGATTCAACTTGGGCTGTTCCCATACCGAACTGACTCCCGAACTCTTGGACCACCCGGGGAAGTCGTGTGTTGCCAATTGACCCTCTTGACCTCGTGAACCACAATGTTCTAAGTGGTTAGCTTGGTGGCCGTCGTTCCTACATGCAAATATGTGGCGACGGACATTTTTAGCTGTGAACACATAGACCGGTGTTTGGCCGTTGAGTGCATGGAACTCAAATCGGACACTCGACGGTGCGAACACCGCTAGAACTTCCACTTCCATCGAAGTTCGGTAAAACGCATGGGAATTGAATTGCGTTCAGTGGGAGCTCCCGAAAGAGGGACATAGACTGAGCATAACCATGAACCGCTATGTTTGGATTACTTTACTTTTACGGTATTTTGTACTCCCGAAAGAGACCGACCGCACAGCCTGATTTCATGGAACTCTTTTTTTGGCAGGCCGTGTGCGGTCCGTCAAACTATGACTTCCATGGAAATCCTGAACCCCTGAACCGATCTGGGTGATTTTTGGATATGTTGGTCCCCCCAGATCAGGGCTATCAGGGGATGTGACAAAAATGAAAAAAGCAACAACAAAAAACAATCAAATTGCTTCAACCAGGAGTAGATACCAACACCTAAAAAATGTAAGGTAAATATGTATAGATATCCTATATTATAAGGATTTAATTCTAGCAGAGATGGTGAGTCTGCTAAACAGTGAGTTTGAAATCAAATAAATACATTTATTAGTAGACAGTTCAATGTCATGCAATCTAATACAGCATAAGTCAGTAGGGAAAAAGTTAGACACAGACAAATGGATCTAAATGAATATACGCTGTATCAGTAAGTGCAGGACATGTCAGCAATCTCAGTTCTGGTAATACATGAGGACTAGAATCATGCAATCAGTCCAATAATGTCTTTAGCTGTATGCTCTTATATAGATCAGGCTGATATCCCGTCTATGAGAACAGCAGGGAAACTAGCCAATAGGAGCTGAATGTACTCTAGTAGCAGACTAATATTTTAGTCAATAAAAGTATGGTAGATGAAGAATAAAATATGATTAAAATATAATCAAATGCAGAGTAGTAGCAAGCATGTAGAAGTGTGGGGTTAGCTCTTCTACATAAAATGTCAGTAGAATCCAAGAGGCTTTCCTTCTAACACCAACCGTTGATCTTTATAGTATATAATGCAGAGGCATGGTGTTCTTCATATAAAAATGTATTACGTCTGATTGATTGGGGAATTTACTTGGATATTGCATTTTCTTCTTGAAAACGTTTGAATCAACACCTGAACTGCAAGCTATAATCACTCAGCCTTTAGCAGTTCGCTAGGAACCGAAAACGAACGGGTATCTGAAATACAAGCGTTCGTAACATGCCCGTTCCCTGGAAATAATTCCACTGTACAAAAAAAAATGAATATCCCCTGTATCATACAGGTCTTAACCTTTTTCATTGCAAGACTCAATTTCCTTTGTGTAAATGAAAAGATTTAGAAAAATTCCATCACACTCCAGTTCAAGCCAGGGTAACTACTGTGATGGAAGAAAAGAAATAGGAACATCCCATATGCTGACTGCAAAGGTCAAGGCTATAAACTCATAAGCCACAACATTAAAAAGCCAGCAAACAGTGATGCACTGTGTGTTCTGATACATTTCTATCATGGCCAGCATTATGGATTTCAGTATTTTGAGCTACAGTAGCTCGACAGGGTTTCCACGTGCATCAATGAGCCTTTTTATCTTCCAATACATGACGTTCTATAACTGACTGCTCACTTGCTGACTGATATATCCCACCCCTTGACAGGAGACATTGTAACCATATAATCAATGTTGCTCACTTCACCTGTCAGTGAGTTTAAAGGGACACTATAGTCACCTAAACAGCTTTAGCTTAATGAAGCAGTTTTGGTGTATAAATCATGCCTCTCAGGTTTCACTGCTCAATTCACTGTCATTTAGGAGTTAAATCACTTTGTTTCTGTTTATGCAGCCATTGCCACACCTCCCCTGGCTATGATTGACAGAGCCTGCATGAAAAAAAAGTAGATTTCACGTTCAATCTGATGTAATTTACCTTAAACAATTGTATCTCTTGCTCTGTAAATTGAACTTTAATCACATACAAAAGGCTCTTGCAGGGTCTAGTGAGCTTTTAACATAGCAGGGGATAAAAAAAATCTAAATTAAACAGAACTTGCAATAAAGGAAGGATAAACATTAGATGACTTTTTACAGGAAGTGTTTATAGAGGCTGTGCAAGTCACATGCAGGGAGGTTTGACTAGGGTTCAGAAACAAAGGGATTTAACTCCTAAATGGCAGAGGATTGAGCCGTGAGGCTGCAGGGGTATGTTCTATACATCAAAACTGCTTCATTAAGCTAAAGTTGTTTGGTGACTATAGTGTCCCTTTAATGTTGTGACCGATCAGTGTACAAATGATTGATGGGGGCTAAGATGGAGAAGAACAGCTGCAAGAGTAAAGAAGTGTAGATTTCTACTTTATTTCTATTTTTACTCTTTACAAACTATATATATTTGTTAAATATAGACATAACATTAAACATAACATAAAACAAAACATAAAACGTAAGATTTAATGGGGAGTGAGAGCTCACATTTAAGCGGGAGTTCTTTACTCTACGGTGACCTTGGTATTTTTTCCTTTAATAACAAACATAAGAAATAAATGTATGTAATATAATATCTCTGAGTAAGTCATGTTATATTTACAGTGACATCATGTACAATTTTCCAAGTAAACAAAACAATAATAATAATGTCTTTAAGATAAACGGAGTTTCCATTCAATATTAGGTTTAAAGTCCTTTGACAATAGCTGTAGCCTTGAAGAGTGCATTTAAATATACCCTTAGAACATAAATATACCATAAAATGTAATAAAGCTTACGGCCTGCACATCTGTGATAATTTATCAGTTATTCCCTGACATGCAAATTGCTGGCAATTTACTGAGTTCTACAGGGTTTACGTGCTAAATACCAAATTGTAGTAAATTAAAAATTTTATTGCAAAAGAGCTGATTTGGAAAAATCTCCACTCAGCTAAAATTACAGCTTGGCTTTTTCTCAGTTCTCAGAACGCTGGTTTAGGTCATCGCAAGCAGGTGACACCAGACGGAGATGTAAGTGTCCATTCATTGGATAAGTTTGTCAGTTGATGCTCTTACCAAATGATTGCGTTAATCTAATCTTGTATTTAAAAAAAAAAAAAAAAATGCATCCTGGCCTTTTCAGATCTAAGGAGACAGAATACAGTGCGGGAGACCATATGGACGCAGGCAAGTATGAAAGTAGGAATGCATCAAAGCACTCCTAGGGCCATAACCACTATAACTGGCACCCTAAGGGAGAGATCTGCCACAGATGTCACAAGTTTTGAGAGAGTGTGCAATTGGTATGCTGACTGCAGGAATGTCCACCAGAACTGTTGCCCGTGAATTGAATGTTCATTTCTCTACCAGAGATCTGTTCAGAAGAAATCAGTATGGGTTTGGGCAACCCCAGGGACTGATGCCAGGTCCACCACAAAGATTTATTTAATGAATTTAGCAAAAAATAATTGCAGAAGGAATAGAAAGGTTAAAAAGGCAATTAATAGACAAGTGGCACTTAACCATAATATGTGGGTATAAAATATTATCTTCATATACCATTGACAAAATGCCCACTACGAGTGTAAAGTTCACAGGTGATCTTATTTTTAGATTATTTTATTTAATAAACTATTTGAATAAAGAAATGAGCACTAAATGGGCACTTTCTCTCTTCTTTTGGTAATAAGAAACCCATGCATAAATGATCTCTTTTATAACTCACTTTATTTGTAGTAAGGATGTAGTCAGTGATTTGGAGGAGACATAATTAATGATAATTAATAATATCTTCTTGTGATTTACTTTTCAATCAAATGTGATATTTTTCATTGCAACTTGCTCATTGATTC